AGAGGGGCTGATGTGCCACAACAATGGACGTAGAGGGGCTGAATTGCACCTTCTGCCCTTTCTTATTGTAGAAGAACTGAAGAAAAGTTAATAAGCATCTTTTATATGGTGCTATTTTATTTTGAAAAAAAAAACTAATAAAATTTTAATATTTTATTTAAAAACTAATAAAATTTATATTTTTAAATAAAAATAACAAAAATTTATATTTCTATTTACATATTTTTTCATTCTATATGGATATATGAATGTTTGACTGAGTGGCTAAAACTGATGAAGTCCTTTGTGGATTTAAGTTTTGTGTTGTATAGTGATTACATAACATTAAATAAACAAATCTATTCTAATTCAATTGTATACTTGTTTCCTTCACTCTTTTTCTTCTTATTTTAAAAGACAAGAAGTTACTTGTGAGTGTGAACTACCAAAATTCGAGGAATATTTTGCATACTTTTTTGAGGTGATGGGAACCTACCTAATGCCTTGAATTATTAAGGCCATGATCATAATAAAAAATGATTAAGGCCGTGCCATGTGCTCCCAATTTTAGCGAAACACACCCAAAAAGGATAGTGGTTTTGGACAATTTACTTTGTGCATGTAAACCATTCTTTTTAACATAAAATTATTTTTATAAAATAAACGGTGTACAATTTGTTTTATAAAATTATTTAAATATTTTTTATAAAATAATATAAAAATAAAATAAAATAAATTTAAATAATTTTATAAAATAAATTATATATAATCCATCCTATAAAATAATTTTTTATCTTTTTAGATACACGAACTTTCTTGTCATACCTCCGTATTTTGTCTTCTGATAATTATGGCAAGTAATAATAATTCAAAGTTTGCAAATTTCAACTTTAAAGTCAAGCTCTGCAGGTTAAGTGAATATTGAATTTTTAGAGTCATTATTGAAGGGAATTATTCTTTTAAAAATATATATTGATATATTTGTTTAATTTTAAAATAATTTTTATTATTTTTATTTTAAATTAATTATTATTTTTTATTTTTAAAATAAATAAATATTTTTTTGTTTCAATCATAATATTATCTATTTATCTTAATTATTCATTCAATCATGAAATTTTTTTGATCTTTTATTTTTTTTAAATATTATAAATAAATATAAATATTATTTTCAAATCTTTAATTTAAAAAATTTAAAAAATAATAATTATTTTAAAATAAAATAAATAAAATATATATTTAAAATTATTAAAAAAATTAATCTCAAAATCTATAAAAATTATCAATACCTAACTGTTCAAACAAAATGTTAACGTCACCCTTGTCCTTTAACCACGTGTACAAATCTTGCTTCTTAGCTTCCGCCAGCTGTTCCTTCCATGGGGTGCATTTCGCTGCTGCTTTCGTTTCATAAAAAAAAAAAAGAAAAAAGAAAAGAAAAGGGGTTAACACCGTAATTTAATCCTTGAATTATTGTACGCACCCCTTATTTGGTTATGTATTAAAAATTTTTTTGATTTGATCCTTAAATTATTATACAAACCCTGATTTGATCCATATTGTTTACAATTTAATTCCAAATTAGTCATTCTGTATAAAAAATGGTTGATGTGTCTATTACTAAATGATAAAAAATAATAACTTAATGATCATGTGTTATATTAATAACAAGACACGTCAGTTATTTTTTGTATGAAAAGACCAATTTGAAGTAAATTGATAAATATAGGGACAATTGAGGAGCTATACAATAATTTAGGATCAAATTGGGGATACATATAATAGTTTAGAGACCAAATTGAGATTTACCAAAAAAAAAAAAAAATGCGCAGCTCAAATATCACGTGCGTTTCACATGACCGGCGTTAGACAGACACGCCCGGCGAGATTCTCGGTTGGTTGGTTTGGTAAAATCCGGCGCGCTTCTAGTAGTGTAGTACATGCTGGTACTATACAATTGCACCTCATTAGCAATGGTGAAATTTTTTATTATTTAAGAAAATAAATTTTTTAAAAGTTTTTTAAAAATAAAATTGTATATTTTATTGTCTAAATTATAACATATTACAAAAACAATAATCATTAAATACCATAATAAATTGATTAAAAATTTAATATTTTAAATTAAAAATCTCAAATCTAAATTTTAAATTTGATGAGAAAAGATTTAATAAAAGAGTAGGGTTATTCTCTTTTATATAACTTATTTTTATTAGATATACTAAAAAAATTAAATGAATTAACTTGTATTTATTATTGGAAACTTTTCATTTAATAATTTATATTTTACTTATAGACCAAGAAAAAAAATAAAAAATAAAAAGTTTTGACATTTTAAATGTTAGAATTTTTTATGAAATTTTATCCAATTGCCTTTAATGAGTCTTTTTTATGTTTTGATTCAATAAATATATTTTAATTTTTTATTTTCATGATATTTTAAATGCCATGATATTTTAATTTTCCTCAATTTCTATCGTTTAAATTATAAAATACTATTTCATTCTTTACATACTTCACATGTAAGAGTAATGATATAAAACAATTTATTTATATAATTTTTATTTATTATTTTTGTTAAAATTTAATAGATTTAATTTTTAATTTTGAACATTTAAATTTAATTATTTATTTTTTGTTAAATTTTTAATGTATTTATTTTTATTTTATCTATATTTTTAAAAATAATTACAATATACATAAAATAAATAATTTTATTTAATAAAAGATAATATAAAATTTTAATAATAAATTATTATATCTTTATTTTATTAAATAAAAAATTAAATAAAAATATAATTCTTACATATTATTATATAAAAAATACAATATTACAAATTCATATAAATTAAAAAAATTTACCATTAAATAACATATAAAATTACATAAAAAAGAGTCATACATATAAAATCTTTTATTTCACTGTACTTATATCTCATATAATTCAAACTCAACATCTTTACTTTTTACAAAAAAAATTACTATTAAATTGTTTAACTCATTGATACATTTTCAATTATTTATCAATCATTTAAAAAAAAATATTCTCCTCACCGCGGATGACAGTCGATACCAATGCGGACGCTAGTACGCGCGTGGCGGACAGCGTTGACCATGTATCCAAAAAACGGAAGGGAACCCCATGACGATCGTCGGCTAGGAATGTTTGTTGAGCTTGAGAATTGTATGTAGAAGTGTGTACTGGTCGGCGGCATCGGCAGTCATAACGCCGTTACCTGCGCACGCCAAAATGCGCGGACCCATGCCTACAGGTTTCGGCCGCGTCTTTCTATCATTACGGTTGAAGACGGTACAATTCTTCCCTCACGGTATCCTGCTCCTCTCTATATAAATACGCTATGGTCTCAAATAAGGAGCAACCAATTCAGTGGAGAAGCATCGAGCGACACAGAAAGAGTCTACGTCTAAATTGAAGATCCGGGAAGGCACTTTGAAGCTTTTGGGTCTTGGGTTTTAGTCTTCTTGCCCAGAAAGTTGAGAGCTTTGTAGGTATTTACAGTAGCCAAAGCTGTTTTCTTTGTTATGATTCTGCTTCAATTTCATTTGGGTTGGCTATGTTTTGGTGTTTCTGTGATGGGTTTAAATTGGGTTTTTGGATTTGGGTGTTTTCTTTTTCTTGTTTTGGTTTATGGTTCTTGGAGATGAAAACGGTAAGCTAGGTTCAGGGGAGTGAATGGAATTTGCTAGGCTGATTCGAGTTTCTCCTTTTTCATTCTTATTCTGATGGAGTGATTATGATTGGTTGGACTGAAAATATGAATTGATTTCTTTGTCACTTTATAAAGGATTTTTTTTTTTTTTTCCATTTTTCAGCTTTTGCACACAAAGTTGATTTGTGGAACACCATTTCATCTTGTGAAGGAAATTACTTAATATCTTACTTTTCTTGGGGTATTTGGTTTTGGGAATTGATTACTTCTCAATAATTAGGATTTTGGAGGGCTATAACTTGGATTAGTTTAAACGAGAAGCAATAAGAGGATTAATTCATTAAAAAAAATTGCTTGAGTCCAGTTTATTAACTTGTTGAATGCATCTGCATTGAACATTTGAAGTTTGGTACTTATTCATTGAAAGTGGATTTTTTAAGTTGGTGTTTTTGTTTATGATACTTATGACTTATTAGAAAAAGGTTTTATAGAATATGATTTTTGCTGAATAATCTTGTCTTGGGCTTCTCCCTAGTGAAGATTTTAGTTTTCTGTTCATTTTTTTTTATCCGTTAGGCATGACATCTTTTGTAAATTGTTTACTGCAAAATCATAAATTAATTCTAATGATTGATGCAGTACCTATGTTTGATGGAATATGCATGTTGTAGGTCTCATTTATTGTGGACTGTGGACTAAGAAACCTTAAATTGATCTAATGGTGGAAAATAAAACCATGAAATGAGATTAACTCTTGTCTCTCTCTTGTGCAAATATACTCATTAACATAAAACTTGAAAATGTTGGATTTATTTGTTTTGGCAGGTTGATATATTTCTCCAGAGATATACAACTTTGTTTTACCACAGTACCAAGGTACTCAGTTTTGAACAAGGGTCTGGCAATCATTTCTTAACTCCTGATAACGATCCTGAGTACCCTTATTGAGTTGAAAAGCTGATGCCTAGCTTGTAGTATGGATGTTCACCAGCTTTTCCAATACGGTGTTAGTGGTACAGGCCTATGCTACTCAACTTCTTATTCTCTTGTTCCTTCTGTATCTAATAGTCTGTTTGGTTCCATGAAAACTGATATAGGAAACTCTCCCAATTCACCCTTTTCAACTCAGTTTGATTGTGATACAGTCACTTCATTGAGTGATAGCCAGGGGCAGCTCAGCTCCACAGAGAATCCATCAGAAAGCAGCCCTACTTGCATCTCCACACTTGAATCTAACAGTTTACATCGATTGGGTTCCTCTGTGGACTGTTGGCATGACAGCCAACCATTCTGTTCTGAAGGAACTTTGTTTTTGCAGGATGCAATTTCTAGCCAGAACATAAATCAAGCTTTGTGGGAATTAGAGGTTGCACTAATGGCACCTGATGATGAAGTAACCGCTCGAAATATTTCATATGCGGGAAGTACCAGGCCAGAGACCTCAGGCCGGAGATCTAGGGCATGGAGTCAGGAACACCAAGCAACGCAAGTGGTTCAGCCTCAGCCATCCACTGTTTATGGGTATAACTTATCAAGTGAAGTTGCTCATGTTGAGAAACATCAGAAAGCAATGGTTGAATTTTCTCTGCAGGACATTTCCCCATACAATTTGAAGCAATTATTGATTGCATGTGCAAGAGCTCTCTCTGAAAGTAACATGGCTCAATTTGATAAGTTGATTGAGAAGGCCAGAGGTGCTGTGTCTATTTCTGGTGAACCAATCAAGCGTCTTGGTGCTTACATGGTTGAAGGATTGGTAGCGAGGACGGAGGCATCTGGCTCAAACATATACAATGCCCTTCGTTGTAGTGAGCCTGAAGGCAAGGACTTGCTTTCGTACATGCATCTTTTGTATGAGATCTGCCCCTACTTAAAGTTTGGCTACATGGCAGCCAATGGTGCCATTGCTGATGCCTGCAAATTTGAGAATCACATCCACATTATTGATTTTCAAATTGCTCAAGGGACACAGTGGCTGACCCTCTTACAAGCACTTGCAGCCAGACCAGGTGGAGCTCCTCATGTCCGGATTACAGGAATTGATGATCCTGTTTCTAAATATGCTCGTGGTGATGGATTGGGTGTAGTTGCAAGGCGCTTGGCAGTACTCTCTGAAAAATTCAATATCCCAGTTGAGTTTCATGGGGTGCCTGTTTTTGCACTGGATGTCACAAGGGACATGCTTGATGTCAGGCCTGGAGAGGCACTAGCTGTGAACTTCCCGATGCAGCTCCATCACACCCCTGATGAGAGTGTTGATGTGAATAATCCCCGGGATGGGCTTCTTAGATTGGTCAAGTCACTGTCTCCTAAAGTGGTAACTCTGGTGGAGCAAGAGTCAAACACAAACACAGCCCCCTTCCTCCCAAGGTTCATAGAAACACTGGAATACTACTTGGCAATGTTTGAGTCCATGGACGAGACTCAGACAAGGGACAGAAAGGAGCGAATTAATGTGGAACAGCACTACTTAGCAAGGGATATTGTGAATGTAATCGCTTGCGAGGGCAAGGAGAGGGTGGAGCGCCATGAACTCCTGGGTAAGTGGAAGTCTCGGTTTACAATGGCTGGGTTCAGGCAATACCCCTTAAGCTCTTATGTCAATTCTGTGATACGGACCCTTCTGAAGTCGAACTCAGATCATTATACACTGGTGGAGAAGGATGGTGCAATGTTGCTGGGCTGGAAGAATAGGAACCTCATATCTGCCTCTGCATGGCACTGAGAAAAAGGGTAAGAGACATACACATATATACAAGTAGTTGTAGGAATTACCAAGTTTGTTGTAGAATCTATCTCCTCATTGCTTCATATAGAATATTTTGCACCCTTTCCTTTAATGCAGTGACTGCCAATCTTGTGTAAGAAATTTCAAGGGTGCATTCTGTTCTCTTTTATGATTCATGTATTTAGAAATTGCAGCTGTACGTGCATCATCAGCTGTATTCGCCATAGAGTTATGGAATAATGTAGAATAACTAGTTATTTCATTATTCACATTCATCTGTTTGAGGTTTTATTAGTGGAAAAGACATGTTTTTGCTGTTCAAAACAAATGTAAAACTTGCGTTTTAGGCACCATTTATGTTTATATTCCTCAACCACGAAAAAGCTGCAGCTCATTTCTGAAGGACAAAAATTTCACTGTAGTGCTTGTGCCTTTTCTAAGGTGAACAATGTTCTTCAACGATCATGCATCCATGGAGGTTGGATTTGGTTGTAACTAGTGTTTTTCATCACATTGTTCATGAGAAATTATTTTTGTAGAAAGAATGAATTTCAGATTTAAGATAGCAAAATTCTATTCCTAGATATTTACTTGAAGTTTGATCCTATACATTAGCACGGTATGGCGTGCTGCATAAGGTCTAGCCTTAAGAATCCTTCCTGCAGTACCTTCCTCCGACATTAAAGCTTCAAAAAATGTCACTTCAGGTTTAAGCAGCAATCTCAGCTCCTGCTCCTACAACCCGAAATGCTAAATCCATAATTAATTGTAGGTCTGCTGGTTTTCAATTTATCCCAGCATCTGGGGTGATCACTTCCTCTCATATGCCTCAAACAATGTCAAGGTAATTTTGATTTTGATATTCTATAAGTCCTTGTTGCATAACAATGTAGGTTCAGTATTACATCAATATATATATATATATAGTGCAAAACTTTATGTCAGCAATGTTTATCTTTAATTTTCTGGTACAGGAAAATGGGGAGGAGAAAATGGAGAGGGGTAAAGCTGAAGGAGGAAGTGAGGGAAAATAGGCATGTCATACCATTTTGAGAAGGATATTGACCATACCTTGGGACAAATTATGCACATGATGTCCCAAGATGAATGTGATGGCCTCTATACTGTTTCCCTAAAGTTTCTGTCTGCTTCGGCAACTTGGTCATGGAATTTCATGCGGTAATAATTCAAATCCCATCTTTTATGCTCATCTTGTTCATCCAGTGTTCAACAAAATTGCTCATAGAAAATGTGTTGGAAAAAAGTTGACATAGTTTGGAGTAAACATATATAGTTTGATATATAATTAATCATTAATTGCCAATTTACCATATGATTTACTAGTGGTTAACTACCTCATGCTTCTATTCTATGTGCTAATAATTGTCGTGCAGGCATGCTTTACAAGTTCAAGCACAGCTTCAAGGAACTTCGATTGCCAAAGAATGTTTTAGGTGTAGCTGGATGTTGATTTCTTGCATCAATAGTGTGGCGAAATTATGGATGAGAAATATGGTAAGGAGGTGACTTTTCTCAAAAAAAGAAAAAAAAGTAAAGACGTAACTGATTTCAGAGCCACTAATTTTTGTTCATAATCATGCCAAGTGTTGTTTGAGGGAAAGAAAGAAATAGACAGCGGTATCTGTACAATTCTCGGGAAATTCCCAACACAATTCCTAGGGAGTTAAAAACACTCTTGTGAAGAAAAAGAACAAATATTATGTGAGATTTAGCAGCTACTGAGGTTTCGCGGAAGAGCTGGAACCACCACGCGAGGCTGGTTAGACTTTGGTTTCACTATTTGCTAATTTGGAAACAACTAAGGGTCACCAGCGTTCTGACTCCAAGCCGAATAGTATGTGGCGAAATTATGGGTGAGAAATTTGGTAACGACGTGACTGATTTCAGAGCCATTAATTTTGTTCATGATTGTGTGTTGTTTGAGGGAAAAGAATGAAATTGACAGCGATGGCTATACTGTTCTTGAGAAATACGTAACGCACAATTCCTAGGACACGTGCTAGTAACCGTACAATGACAGCCATCCTAATTCGTCCAGAAGTGGTTAAGATAAGGCGACACAACAAGTTGAGGCCACGTAAAATTCATTGTCAAGCCCCTCAACTTACCCTATTTTTGTAGATGAGCCCCTCAACGAAAAATCAAGCAAATAGGCCCTCAAACCATAGCGATCAGAGTAGATTAGCCGTTAGCTGTTAGCCGTTAACACGTTGTTAGTTTGTGTTAAATTTAATTGATATGTCAGTTGAAATTAACCGCAGTAGTTGGTGCCTGAGTCTCTGACATTGTGGAAATAGGAAAGTAGCTAATTTCAAATTAGTCACTGAATTAGCTAAATTTGAAATATATATAGTTCTTGAACTTGAAGTGTTTTAGTAGAAGTCCTAATTGCAAATTAGGCACTGAATTAGTTAAATTTAAAAAATATATATAGTCCTCAAACTTAAAGGTTTTACTAAAATCCTATTTGTTTCATTTTCGAAGAATCCCCCTTCCTTTCAATTAGCTATACTGAGGGCAAAAAATTATATATATATTTTGAAAGGATTAAATTCCGTGGAAACAAACCCAACCATTAAAATGCTAACAAGCTATGCAATCAAAACAATAGTTGAAGGTTTGCAATGAGACATTGTCTCCATCTTTCCTTCAAATAACATTGAAAACCCTCAAATTTTACACGGTTTAATAAAAGAGAACAAACTCCATCATTAGGTGTTGTTTGCATGACTTTTGCGAAATTGATTTGGTTGTGTAGGTGTACCTCGATGAGAAGTTCTTGGTGATGACTAACAATGAAAAAATTGGCCATAGAGATCAGATTGAGAGGCAGACAAGTTGAAGTTGGTGCAATTGAACACGAAGATGGAGGTAAGATCCAGATGGTTTGGGTTGGGCAGAACACTTGAATTCAAGAGAGAGACTGGCAAAAGTATTTATGGAAAGGTATAAGAATAATCAAACTTGCTAGAAAAATACTTGATAGATTTTAGAAAAATACTTGAAGTTTAACAATCATATCTATTTCAAATTTAACTAATTTTAGAGACCAAATTGAAATTAATCACTGTCCTATCGCAACTATGTTAAAGGATGAACATTTATTTAACTGATAGTTCAACTAAATTTAATAGAAACGAACAACACTATTAATGAGGGGCTAGTGTGCTATGATTCCTACGGTTTAAGGGTTTATTTGCCTTATTTTTTATTCAAGGGCTCATACAAAAAAATGGGGTAAGTTGAGGGGCTTAAAAATGTGTGTTTATATTTTAATATGTTAATTAATAAATATTAGTTATTTTATTATTTATTAACTAATAGTTAAAGTTTTTGATTATTTTTAATAATTAAACTAAATTTAATCCGTATTTTGAGCCAAGCTTTCGAGCCTAGTGGTTCGTCCTTAAGTTTTGTGCTTATGTTGAGTTGGTCAGGAGTTCAACTCCCACCAATTACTTAAAAAACCTCTCCTTCCCCCCATATTTCTCCATGTTCAAAAAAAAAAAAAAGTATTTTAAGAGATAAAATCTAAAACCTTTGTGTAGTTCCTATCAATTTATTGTGTAGCCCTACCCATTCTCTAGAATCACTTGTTACCTTTTAAAACTTTAATTTGTTGTGGACGATGATACACATGATTTCTAGTATTTCTAACCATTCATATCGACCATATCACAACAAGCATGGTTATGACCATCAATAATAATATTATAACTATCAAAATTCTAAGATATTGTTTTTAAAAATATTGATTTTGTTTAATTTGATTCATAAAAATGACTAATAATTGTAATTATTAACTAATTATTGATTGAACAGTTAATATTTATTAATTAACAAACTAATATTTTCAAACACTTTTTTAAAAAAATTAAAATTTTGGTAATCATCACAATATTAATTGTGACAATAACCACACCCCAATAATACCCAACATCTATTATGTTACATCATTCCAGATCCCACAGTGTGGTTTAAACGCATCTTTACAACTTGAGGCGAAAATAGGGCGAAGAAAAAATTGGCTCACCTTTGTAACTCAAGAGGAAACCCTAGGACAATATACTATAAATACCACGGCTCTCCAGCAGCTCTTTCCCGCACCAAAAGCCTTCAAGTAACTAGACCCGTTCTTACATTTATCCACTTCAAACTTTCTCACATACGAGATAAATATATCAGCACAAGCCTTGGCAGTTCCTACCTCTCCTCAAAATTCAAGCTGCAAAGATAGCCATCGTACATCTAGTTACCATCCTTCCGTTTGGAGGTATCATTTCCTCATGCATTCCTTCAACTTCATGGTAATTAATCATATTATAAAGTCCCTAAATCAACACTCTTATAAAAGTTTTAGTTAAACAACATTTCTATAGAAGTTATTGTTAGAAAGAAAGACTCTTTGTCTCAAAAGTTACCTAGATGCGGATGTTTGGTTGGTTGTTTGTGAATTCCTTTTCATTTTTTCATTTTTTTATGGTTTAATTTAATAAATCATCTATTAATTATTACCTTTTTTTCATTTTAATTTAAAATTTTTATTTTCTTTCAAACTCATCTATTCACTTTCAAAATTATTTCATTGTATCTACCCCACATAACTCTGTTAGTTTTGTTGATGGAACTTTAGGTTTCTAATTGCCTAGCACCATGTAATTATTATGTTAAATACCTTTTAATTGGATTAAAGCATAATTCAGTCAAAATGCTTGACCGAGTTATTATTATTTTTTTTGATCAAAATATTTTCTTGTCTGAAATATTTTTTTTTTCAAAATAAAGCTTTTTCTAGTATTGTCTTCTAAAGTTCTCTAAAATTTTCTCTTTATAATGTTATTTTTGTATTTTTATACCCTATTACTACAACAAAATGAGGATGTAAAAGTTATATTTTTAACCTTTATTTTTTCTTTTATAAATTTTAATCTATAAACTCTTCTTTCTATACTTTTTGAAGAAAAAATCTTTCCCCAATTTTTTTATATAAGACTTATTTAACAACTTTCTTACTAATTTTTCATATACTAATTTCTTACTAAATATAAAAGAATTAATAATTTTTAAAAAAATTTAATAAAATTTTATTATATAACTTATCAATTTTTTATACAATATTTTTTTAATTATTTTTTCAATAAAAATTTTTCTGATAAAATTAACTTTCTAATCATATAAGCCTTAAATGTGAAGGAGATAGAGACTTGATTGGTGGAAATAACTTTAGGGAGATTTTTTTTTTTTTTATAATCTTTTGTTTAAAACCCTTTTTTGTTTACTCTATTTTAATAAAAAGTTCTTTTTTAATTTCTCTACTTAATAAATCTCTTTTTTTGTTCCTAAAGTTTAAAATTCAACCCTTTTTATTCTCTCTATTATTTTTTTCTCATGTGACACATTATTATAATGGAAATTCCAAAATAAAAGACTAAAATTGAGCCTTTTTCAAAGTAGAGAACTAAAAGGAGGCTTTCTTTTAAGTAGAAGGACCAAAAAGGACTAAAAATAACAAAAGGACTAAAAAGAGATTAAATTTTAAATTTTAAAGATTAAAAAAAGATTTTCTTAAGTAAAAGGACTAAAAAAATCTTTTTATTAAAATAAAGAGACCATATAATGTTTTTACCTAATATTTTTTTTATAGGTACATGGTTTTTTTTTTTTTT